CAGGGTACTGGACTGGGGAGGCATTTGGTTTGACTCTTCACTATTCTGATTAAAATAAAAATGCATAGGATATCAAGACAAACATCTGGATGATACTTCAAGATCATTACATAATTCCTTGTTATGTATGAGTTCATGACCTATTGCAACCTTATAAAAAAAACCAAACAAAACACTCTGTTCTTTTCTTACAGTCTCATCTGTCACCCAGAGAAAACCCTACGTGCCCAATAAGAGCACTGAAGCATTGCAAGCCAACCCAATGGCGTCCTCTACTGCTGTGCCTGTAGGATTTCACTATGAAACAAAATATGTAGTTCTCAGCTACCTGGGACTTTTATCACAAGAGAAGCCACAGGAGCATCCTCCTCCTTCAACTCAAGGTGATAGACCATATTTACCTGTGTAACTATTTTAGCAGTCAGTTGTAGTCTTGAACTGTTTGTGCATGTATGTAGAATGTCAGCCAGATGTTTAATGTTGTGTGTCTCTTTATTATTCATTTAAAATAATGTGAAAAATGCTGATGGAGACAGAGGTGTTTGCATTTAGATTACCATTTTAATTTGAGCTGTGCCAGAGGTAATTGGTGTTTATGAAGCAAGTAAATGGTTTTAAATAGCTATCTTCAGGTTAGGAAGGATAAGTATTTATTGCCTTTGTTAAGCCATCTTGAGAATCTGAGCCCATGCTTGCCTTTTTCGGGAGGCAAATGGAAGTAAACGGGGTAAAGTAGTGTTTACCAGCATAATCTCTGAATGATGACCTAAGCAATGCCATGTACTACATAGTTTTGCCATATTACATTAACGCTTCTGTTGTTGTCAGTCAGTAGTAGTGTGGAGATGTGAGACTTAATCTGGCCTATGCTGCGTTTATTTGTTTGTTTATTTTTAAGAAGTCAAGGATCGCTTGGAATCGAGTGTTTCTTCCAGAGCAGTTTAATGCATCTAGGAGGTTGGGCATAACAAAAGAAGCTTGGTAGATTGTTTCATGTTTCAGGGAGTAAGCCTTCCTTTTTGTTGTGGCAGCAAGCACTTCAAACAAGCGCTGTGTTTGTCAAGGTTATTTTGGTGGCTTGTCAATTCTTAATGATGTTTCAGTCACTCATCCACAACTTATTCTGATGAAAGCCATATTAAAAAAAGGGGCAGTCTTTAGAATCCTTGTTTTCCTTGAAGGAGCATTTAAGAAGGCATACTCTAGCATTTACTGCAGTTATCTGTCATCAAATGAAAAATGCCTGAAAGGATAGCATCAAAGATATGACAGAAATAATTTTATCAGTTTGGCACTAAAAAACATAGCATACGCTGATTATATCATATACGATTTATAAAATTAAACATTGTATGTTTGAGATGTGTCTATTATTTCTACTTTGGCTGCATCTGTGGTCCACGAAGGGAGAGACACCTTAGTGCCAAGATGCTGTTTCATAGAACTCTTTGTTGGTAGATGTGGTTATTTTAGGAATAACATCTCGTTCTGGATATCCCATCTGGGATAACTGGACTATAATTGGAAATATATCAAGTACATACAAACCTACCACGTGGAAGAGTCTGTTTCATTCTGAAAATGCAAGACTCAGTAAGGAAACTTAGTCTTAAAAGCTTTCTTTTTATAATTTGGATCTAGTTACCTATCAAGAAGTGTTTGAATTAAAGAACATACACATTTTATAATCTATTAAGAGGATTTTTGAGCTCTTGATTAAAGATCACTATTTACTATATCACGTATCCACTATTTAGGTATGTTAGCTTATGTTACAGCGGGATGTACTTTGTTTTGCTATTAAAATATTCTAAGGCATTGACACTTTAAAAATCTGTCCTTTCATCCCCACCCTAAACAGGAAACTCTCCTGCACTTCCCTCACCAACACCCCCAAGAACAGAAGGTGAACAAAACTTTTCCTCCCTTGGTCATCTTTCACTGTAATTAGATTTCACTAAACTAACTGTTTTCACTGCTTTCTTATCAAAAACTGGGAAAAATCATTTTCCCTCACTCCTAATCTGCCATGTTGTTTCTCATTCTGTTTTGAATGCCTAGGAGGGACTTTGGTCACCTTCTAAATGAAGGGCAAACACTTTATCCTTCTTTTAAAGGTTCTATGTAACTTTAATTTGCTTTTGTTTCTTTCTTCGCTTTTGCTGTTGCTTTCCTGTTTTCTGTCCTTGCAGCAGCTTTCTATTTGTCTGACAGTTGCTTTTCCGTTTTTCAAAAAAAATCCTTTCTCCGAGTGCTTTTCTTGTTGCTCGAACAGTTGTTTCAGCTGTGCTCTCAGGCTGTCTGTGGTAAGGGCCGTGTATTTACTGTAAAGTGCTGTATGCGTCTTGGTTGCATATGAAGTAGCTATGTACAGTCTGTACCTTCTTGTTGCTTAGAACGTGCTGAGAACTGCACTAAAGCACTCTGCTTTTTAGGCTGCTCCCCTCAGGAGACGGTGAGAGAACAAGCAGCCCATAAAGGATAGTAGCTGCATTGCCTAATGCACTAGTGGGAGTTAGCTGGGTATTACAGGAACAAGCGTGGTATTAGAAACCTGTAAAGAGTAAAAGAGATGTGAAAACCAGTAAATGAAAATGAATAGTTGTTTAGAATCCCATCATAAAGTAGGAACTTCTGTTTTTCATAAGGAAAATATATGAGGGATAATAATGATACGATATTACAGCATCCTTGTCAATGTGTTTTTCATGCTGTATCATCAGCCATTGGTACAATGTCTTGACAGATCCTGAGGTACTTTCATCGATCTCTTTTATGGTATTTAAAACACTAGTCACTGATCCTTCTGCTTTGTGCAGCTGAATGTGGTTCGTTTATGAAATGAGAGGACTCTGATAAAAAGTACCTGTTAACCATATTTTGTTATAATTCGCTTAGTGTGCTGATAGACCTTTCATGGGAAACATTTAAAACAGTGTTTTGCTCTTGGTTATTTGATTGTATTTTAGTTGCAAAACAGTCTTCTACTTATGGTTTTCACTCTTACAAGGTTCTGACTCTTTGCTATATAATAATCTCCCTTCACTCATTTTTCTTAGGTCCAACTGAGTCTCTACTTTTTGTCCAACTTCTGTGCCCCACTACAATATAAAGGGAGTATCCAGAAAGGCTGGCTTTAGCCTCATTATGTTAATCTCTTTAGTATCCATCCATATTTGGGAGAGAGAGGCTTCTCTGCAGGGTGGTACGGAGCAAGATCCTAATTATAGCCAGCCGCCTTGAATCACACTTTGGAAGATCCTCTCTCTCTTTCGTTGCATATATAAAGAACATAGAGAAGTAAGATACGCTAGGCTTAGTTAGTATTTGTATACTTCCCCTGAGTCTCCTACAGTAGGCTCCCAGATATCACTCTCCAATACCAAAGGAGATTTCCGTGAAGCTTCAACATTTCAGTTAGAGCAGGTATATGATGGCTTAAACAACCAGAAAGAAAAGCAGTCTTTCCTAAGAGTAGTGCTGCCATTTTATCTCTGCTAGACCGTGTAGGAAAAAATGAATGCTTTTGTCCGTTTGCCTCCATTTCCCTGCTACGGTCATCTCCCCAAAAGCTGTGCTTTCTTGCATTTCGTACTGGAGAGTTCTTTTTCTGACACATGCCTTTTCCTCTTTACTCATACAAGAGTAAAATCTTTAAGATATTTGTTAGATTTCATGGGAAAACTTGTCTTTAATATTTGCAGACTTAATATACTTTAATAGAGTGATGATTTCCAGAGAGAATTAATTTAGTAAAGAGAAAGCTTGGACAAATTATGTGAAGAAATTCTACCTCACTGTAATTCCTTTGGAGTCTCTTGGTCCGTCTGGATTTGTTGCAAGAAACATGTCTTCAGATCTACTAGCTAAAAACAGTTCTGACTTCAGCCAAAGAAGGCCAATCTGTAAGTCAACACTTGGGTATTACTATGAAAGTTTTATTTAGAGAACTGCTCTTTAGTGCAAGGACTGAAGAGTGAGCTGTCTGCAGTTTTCCAGGCGCTTGAAGAGAAGGTTATTTTATTGGACAAAATGATCCTTTTGATGTTACAGTGTATAGAATTTTGCAGTTGATTTCAGCATCTGTAGAGGAAGAGCCAACAAACTTAACTAAGAAAAAGTTTTAGCAGCTACTTCTTCCAGGCACAATTTTGGAAAAATAATGATTCTGCATAACTCCCGGTTCAGTTTATTTAAAGTAAGGTCCATTAGCGGTAAATGCCATTACTTTTTGGTAGAATTTGAGATAGGTGATTAATACAAGTTGCTCAGAGAAATCTGGAGTACAACAGACAGGTAAGATATCATCTGTGTAAGTTCATACAACCTGAAGCAATGGATGAGCACAATTACTTAAAATGTGGGAGGAAGCTCTCAGTAAAATAAATATCAAGTATTGAAGATATGCTGAAAATACACCAAAAATAAATATCAAATTTTGGAATACATTTCTATAGTTTTTTTCCACTGAAATTCACACTCATTATGGAGGCTTCCAGCCTACTGTAGCTGCTTGTGCTACTTACTGTCTTTTGCAAGTGTCCAAGTACTTTGATTCAATACACCTGTGTTATAAATGCTTCTTGAAATTTGATCAAGGGGAGTAATTGTTATTTTGTATACATATATATATATATATATTTTTTTTTTTTTTTAATCGACTTTTCCATGGTTTGACTTCATCCCATTAGCCTGTGGTTATAACTGTGGTTCTAAAGGAACATTTTTTTTTCTGTGTTTTCCTAGATAGTCTCCTGAATAGAATTCTAAGAATGAGAAGTCCTTCCACTCACAGTGTAAGGAATAATCCTTCCATTCACGGTAGCACCCACAAGATTTATAATTAATGCCGCTATTAAGCGTGCCATAGATTACACAAAAAGTAAACAAAACTTTGGCAGTTTTACAGTTTCCCTGAGGTACATGTCACCCATGGTAATTGTAATCCAATTACTGTGCGCAGTGTCCTTTCTACCATTAATTGTCTGTTTTGAGATTGCTGTATGAAGTGCTGTATATATTCAGTAATCAAGCCATTATAGTGATAGTGGTTTCCCAAACACATTTCTTACAGCTACGTGGTGTTGAATTGGGATATTAGAAGAAGTGGATTTTACATGTATTTGTTCACATGCACCGGTTAGAAGAGAACTCTGATGCATCTCAGGAAATACATGCATAGATACTTAGAGATGGTCAGGATTTATGGCATTGTAGGTGAACTCAAGGCTCCTCCATGGCAATCCCAAATCTAGGATTAGCAGATTTATCATAGGATGTTGACCATGATAAGCGAGATAACTATTGTCATCAGGTGGAGTGGCTGTTGTAGAATATCTTGGTTTTCTTTGTACTCCATGTCTGTATCTTCATTTATCCTTCA